GCATACAAAAATGCGGAAGTAGTACGTTCTGTAGTTTTTATACAAAAGTCCTGGAGTTGTCAAAAGTGATGCGTTTTATGTCATCCGACAGGCGTTTGCCGACATAAACGAGAATATGTTGGTGCAGGTGACACGTAAAAATAATACACATTGTTCGTTTACTTATGCCGATATTGTAACGATATAAAGTTGGTTGAGAATCTGTGAACTTGCCCTTTAATATTAGAAACAAGCGACAATAAACATGAAACACGCAATGAATACATTACCATTGTATATAGGCTATATGAAGAGGAAATTATATATATTGTTGCTATATAAATATAAAATTATATTTATAAAAGAAGTAGCCTATATACATTTTATTGCATTATACTGTGTGAGTGCATAATTTCAATAATGTCAGTAGTAACGTACAGTAGTATACATTTAGTTTTATATTTATATTCTTGTGGATGAAATCTTAATATCATTATGACTTCTTTTATAAATATAATTTTATATTTATATAGCAACAAAACAACAAAATAAACAGGGGAATAATAGGAATGTTCAGTAATATGCAATAATTTGTATTTAATTATATCAAGATTTCCTGTACATTTAAAACTAAATGTATATGTAGTTTTAGTATATAAATAACGATATAAAATTACATTGAATTTCATTATATACATACTGAATGTATATAATAAAATAAATCTTTACCAATAATAAACAAATGTGCCAACAGAAAATAAACCAACAAAAGAAATAGCAAAAAGTGGCAATGTGCAATAATAAAATATGTAACAGATGCTACATTGTATACAAACATATTTAAAAGTCTACTTTTTCGTGTAGCCTAATATTTAATTATTTTGCCTAAATGTGCATTTCATTTTGCGATTTTTGGCTGACCCTCGATTCATGAATGCCCCTTGAGCGGGGAGCCCTCGCGCACCTGGCAACCGCAGAGCCACCGATACTGCTAACCGAAGCTGGCTGTCCTGTCCCGCCTTACGACTGTTTAACTCCCTCGCTTCTAAACCTAACCGAATGGGCTGCGGAAAGCCTGTCGGTTCGCTGCAGTAGTCGCGTGTGTTGAGTGTCCAGCGTGAATCCAGTGTCCGAAGGGTCAATCTGCCTCACTGCAGTGCAGCCGCTGCTGGAGCCAAGCAGAACCACAATGGCGACTCCCAGTCCCAGCACCAATTCACCAGCTAGCGCTGCGGGATCCGCCTTACACACGCAACACTTAACGACAACGAGCAACATGCAGGGTAAGAGACGCAAACACAGCGTGAAGCGGCTAATGAGCCGTCATTCAGTGATGCGGCTCGAACGCAGCGAAACGCGTTTAGGCCGCGCACTCCAGTGTTTACAGTGTCACATAAACGCGAAGCTCCATGCTAAATGTTTTTTGAGCTGAGGCTGTAGGCCTGTGCAGTGGCTCGTGCAGCCTTTCTAGGCATCATATCCAGTGTTGGGGGTAATAAATTACAAGTTACGTAATCAGATTACTTTTTTCAAGTAACTAGTAAAGTAACGCATTTTTAATTTACAAGAGAATATCTGAGTTACCAACTCAGAATATGACGCAAACCTGCAATAATTAAATGTTAAACAACACAAATATCCTTTATGTATTTAATCCCATTCTATTAACCAATGTCTTTGCTTCTGACCTTCGATGATCCAGTTCAATCATAATAATAAGCAAAAATTACTCTAGACAAACATTTGTGTTTTTTTTATTGCTGAAGTGTGTTGAAATTTCTTCTTCTGCATTCTACTGTACGGACGTAAATTTACTTTCCCTTCAGCCTGAGGCTTATTCATTTCACTTTTGGTGTGAAAAGGCTTTTATATTTGCCAAAAATATAACTTTTTTATTTTAAAAACAAACAAGCAAGCCCTGTCCAGATTTAAAAAGTAGCACAAAAGTAACGTAACGCATTACTTTCCATAAAAAGTAACTAAGTAACGTAATTATGGAGTAATGCAATATTGTAATGCATTACTTTTAAAAGTAACTTTCCCCAACACTGATCATATCTATGCTAAATGCGCTGCTCTGATGGCCAAAACTGCTGGATATATGTACAGCTCACTGAGGTTCTCTACACGACTCTTGCTCTGTAGCACCGCTGTAACAGAATCAATAATCTTACTGATATTTTATAGATAATGGTGATTCTGATTGATGGCCGTTTATAATTTCTATTGAGTTGTGTACATTTTGTTGTAAAAAAATATTTAACTGCACTCTATTCAGTGTTGTTTTAGTATCATTCAAGTACTGTTTATAGCTTTTTAATATTTGAAAGTAGATTTAATTTATTTATTATTTTTGCTTTTATGGTAATTTTAGTTAAAGTTTTAGTATTTTGTGTTTGTTATTTTTGTTAGACTTTATTTTTTATATTTTTATTTCAGTTAACATTTTCTACAGTTTTAGTTAACTATAATTAATAATACTGTTATAGTTTTTGTTAATGTTTTGAATTATATTTTCTGTTTTACGTTAATTTTAAAGTTTTATTTTTTTGTTTTGTCATTTTTATTTGATTTTGTTGTGGATATATATATATATATATATATATATATATAGTTCATTTTAGTTATTTTAGTACGTCAACTAAGTAAAAATGAGAAATGTTGCATTGGCAACTAGCTGAAACTAAAAGTTTTTAATATTTTTATTTAATTTTATTTTAATATTTTCTACTCGTGTTAATTTTAGTTATAGTTATAATTTTAGTTAATTATAGCATGTATTTGCATTAAGATGATCGTAACGGGTCAGTCTCATACTATCCAGTCTGACTGTGGTCTGATTATTAGTAAATGAATGATTTCTCCTCCTCATTCAGATTCCAGCACATGCTGGAGGTGTCAGAATGAAACCGGTAAAGCAGCTCACAAACACTTCACTCTTATTTAAACCATCATCAGTTCAGTTTATACAGAAGCTTGTTTCCACCTCGGAATAAAAAGGTCATTGTGACTTTTATCTCACAGTTCTGAGTATTCTTTGATAAATTGCAAGTTTATATCTCACAAATATATATATATATATACAGTGGTGTGAAAAAGTGTTGGCCCCCTTCCTGATTTATGATTTTTTTGCATGTTTGTCACACTTTAATGTTTCAGATCATCAAACAAATTTAAATATTAGTCAAAGATAACACAAGTAAACACAACATGCAGTTTTTAAATGAAGGTTTTTATTATTAAGGGAAAACAAAATCCAAAACTACATGGCCCACAGGTATTTATTGGCTGCTGTCTCTTTAAGACCAAATGCACGGACACGGATTCGGTTTCTTTCTCAGCTGTTTACGTTCACTTAAGACATAACCGAATGTGTTTACTAGAATACTTGCCAAAAGGGTATTTTAACATAACTTTGTGTGTATGTGAAAGAGGAATCAATTCGCTGTTCACGCGGTGTCTCTCTCTCTCTGCGTATGTGCGGCAGCGGCTGAGCGCACAGAAAACAGCGCGTGAGTTAAAATTGCTTGAATGTGTAAACTTAACAGTTAATTTGCGAATCACATGTGTACCGAACAGTGCAGCCTGATCCGTACGGATCATCTACGAGCCGTTGCACCCTTAATATATACTGTATATATATATAGATATATGTATTGTTTGCATTATGAAATAAAAAATAAAAATTTGTGAAAATTGACAAAAAAAAAATAGTCACAGTTTGGACTTTTATCTTAGCACTGCGAAATTATGTTTAAATATGAGTTTATATCTTACAATTGTCTGAATTGTGAGATACAAAGTCAGAATTGCGAGAAAAAGTCAGAATTATGAGGTTAAAAGTCACAGTTACCTTTTTAATTATTTTATTCCATGACTTAAATAAGCATCCATAAGTTTATCATCATTTGCATGGATTTTCAACATTCCCCCCCCCCCCTTTTCTTTAGGATTTCAGATCAATCTGTCTGGAGTAACCCAAAGTAAGCTGGTTTTCTGTGCTATTATAACGGTTTGCTTGTAGTGTGGTTTCTGCTGTAGATGCTGTAGTTTAAGAGCAAAATGAACCACATATGAATCAAATATATTAATTTAGACAAATTATTTTTAATAATTTAAATAATTTATTTAATTATCTTAATAAATTATGTAATTAAATTGTTATCTTATTAAGATAATAAATAAATTATCTTAAATAATTTAGAAGAAATCATGATTAGTGCTTGCCTTAGCAGAAGATAAATAAACTTCACTTCACCAAGCCACACAGTTTGAGCTGTTTTCTGGAATCATCTCATATTTTGATTCGCAGTTATTTCCATATTCATTTCTTTCTGCATGCTTTCTGTTAAATTAGTTTTTTGTTTTTAAATACAAAACATAAAAAAAGTCTCCATTACGCTTTGCAAAGCAATCTGAACTTTTTCTCTTTTACAGGCAAACGCAAAGCACTTAAGTTAAACTTTGCGAATCCGCCAGTTAAACCGACCGCACGACTCCCCATCACGACAGCTAACCCTCCGTTCCAGAATCCACACATGTGAGATTTCAATCACTGCTAATGTTTTGTTAAAGGTCACGTGTGTCATTTTTATGTTGAATATGCAGAGAAAACGGTAAGTAATTTGTAAAAACTGGCTCAAACACGCCTGTTTGTATCCTGACACTCCAATCAGCCAATAGCATGAGTTTGGGGGCGGGACATACTGTTTTATCAACCAATTACAGATGGGCAGAGTTCGGGAAACCTGTTTGGCAACAGTCATGATTTTTGCAGTTCCGTTTGGTGATGCAGTTTCATGAGTCTGCGCTGTAGTTTCTGTGTATAAAAGCATTGACTCGTGCGTTTCAGAGAGCGGCTGCGGACGCACAGCATCGAGTCCTCAGGCAAGCTGAAGATTTCTCCAGAGCAACATTGTGACTTCACGGCCGAGGACCTCAAGGACCTGGGGGAGATCGGGAGAGGAGCGTACGGATCCGTTAACAAGATGGTGCACAAACCCAGCGGACAGATCATGGCTGTCAAGGTGATTCACATTATATGTGCTTTATAATCAATTCTCAAAATATCAGAATTATCCAGCGGTAATGACTGGAGTCTGGGAACATTGGACAAAGGAATGGAATAATTGAGACACCTTTGGATAATTTTTTTTCTCATATAAAACTGTAGAAATTCTCATAGATACTGAAATAGAGCACAACATTCAGTTCCGGAAATAGAAACTCTATTCATTTTCTCCATAGGGAAAATAAATATAATTAATTTTCAGCAATAACTGATAAACCTTTAATGTTCTCCAACATAATGTTAATCGATTGTATATCCTTTTGTTTGAACCCATCTGTTCGCATTGTCAGCTTCTGTTTTAAATAATTGTTCAATAGCAGAATTCATGGTGGAAAACTGAATTACCCATAATTCCAGCAAAATTCCACCAATCAGGGAGTCACAGTGAGCAAAGTGCACTAAGAATAGATCTTTAGCTCAGCTAGAAAATTAAATAGCATAAAAGACAGAAGAGAATGAGAAAAAAAACAGATGAACATATGAACTGAAACAAAGTACAAACATATGACTAAACATAACAGCCTTTCATTTTTATATATATATATATATATATATATATATATATTAGGGGTGTACGGGCTCACAAAATTCACTGTTCGGTTCGATACGACAAAGGGGTGTCACAGTTCGGTATGTTTACGATACAGCAAAAACAAAGAAATGCCAGACAAATATCCTTCTTTTTTTATTTTTTATTTTTTTTTATTTATTAAAACTAGTATCATATGATCTTAAAAATATTTTAGACTTTGGAAGGCCTTTTGACTTTTGCCGTTTATCTAAGATGATTTTGGAAGCTTTTTTAACATTCGTTTCTTATTTATTTGGTTCCACCGCGTTTGCTGATTTTCAGTGTTTAAGTTATGTGTTATTTTATATTAGGCCTATAGCATGGTGTATTTGTACTCGTTTTGTTAATAAATTAAACATTCTGTGTTTAATGTGAGTTTGTCGTACTGTCTTGTTGTTGTCCATTTAATCAATTGAGGCCGAATTGACGCTAATTCGAAAGTGAAAGTAAAATGCGCACATGCATTTACAAGCCATTTAAAAGCGAATAAAAGAAAACTATAACGAACTACCTCACCGTCACAACCTGGAGTACATTATATTTCACACACTCCACCGTGTTTGCTGATTTTCAGTGTTTTATATTTAAACTTCGTGTAAGTTATTTGTTATTTTATATTAGGCCTATAGCATGGTGTGTTTGTATTCGTTTTGTTAATAAATTAAACATTCTATGTTTAATGTAAGTGAGCTTGTCGTACTGTTTTGTTGTTGTCAATTCAATCAATTGACGCCGAAATGCCGCTAATAGTTCGAAAGTGAAAGAAA